TTTGCTAAAGGTATAAAATTATAATAATTTGTATATAATGTGTAGAAAATTTATATTATATGTTCATTTGACCAACAACATATTTTAATTATTTATGTCCTCAAACAGTTTTATTAGATTGTTGGTAAATTTCGTTTTGTTCCGTTTCAAAAGGTTTCCAAGCTACCAAAAGTCCATGGCTACCTATGTAGGTATTTGATAATATAATTAGTATATATTAAATTACGTTAAGTTTAGTCTTACTTTGTTTTGTTGTAGGGAAGTTGTTTTTTATTTATATTAAATTAATATCTGGATTGTCTTTATCCTTAAAGTCTCAGCATATTTATGCAACATTCCATTGTTTCTATCGTATCCAAATGATATTGAAAGGAATTTTGCGATTTTTGTCTCTACAGAAAGGGAGAAGTGATAAGGGCGGAGAATGTTATGCGAATATCTCTGTACGTAGTTACAAGGAATTTGGCTAATTATTCAACCACAATTCGCTCTGATTGCTGAAATTCCTTTTCCACGAAAAATAAGTAAAAAACCAGCATAATCCTCGATCCGAGGGTTAGAAATTTCCTTAATAAATACACTGAGTTATAAATTTACCACTAATTGAAATTTATGCTTTTTAAAATAAATTAATTATCTCTCAGTTCCCTCCTGAATCACGTCATTTTAACCGCCTCGCGTGGAGGGGAACTGTAGCATATTGTAGGCAAATGTGACGCGCCAAATTTTACAGTTTCCTCATACAACGAGCCGCTACTGGTATTAGTATATGTGAAACGACAATTTTTAGTATTAACGTTTCCATTAAAAAAAAACAAACAAATTTTCTGGATTCCGTTCAAACTTCGTTTCTAGACTAATTTGAGCACGTAGATTCCGTTTTGTCGTGAGTCGGTCGGTGGCGGAGATATGTCCAAGTCGAAGCTATGGCGTTTTTTGCGTGTTTCGTCGCATTCTCTCGACCATAGCTCCGCTACCAGATATCCTAGCGATTTAATTTTTATATGGAAAGACGCAGAAAAGAACAAGCTATCCAACGGTGGAAACCTCGTCGTACTGCGATGACCGGTTGTATAGATATAGAGCGTAAAATTTATCGGAAGGTTTCTGATATGGAAAAAAATGGAAAATTTTCAACTTTTCTCGTTGAATCTGAAAGGTGTAATTGGTTTTTCNTTTATATTTTTAGAAACAAATTATTATTTTTATTTAACTTTCCAAATGGGTTATTGAGTTGATTTGAAATATCCAAGTTCGGTGGGCATAATAATTCGGAAGGTGTCCTTCGATTTCTAATTCTAATCTAATCTAATTTTTTAATTAGGAACCTTTTTGACCCCGAATACGGAAAGAGCGCAAAATTTTACAATGAGACAGGCTCTTCTTTGAATGACCTTGAAAGGTTATTGCAAGGACAAATTACTTATACAAGCACACAAAAAAAAATTTCATGAACCAGAGGGTAGACCCCACTATTCTTAGGTTGTTGGGGTAGCTGAAACCGAATATGACCATAAAAAATGATTTCAATTGCCCGTTTTCCCGCTAGCACCCCCTTACCACCCCTGAAGGGGGTTAAATTTTAAATTTTCGTACAAAATTAAGATGTAAGCGTATTTTTGTGTTTTTTGGGACGCTGAAACCGAAAATGACTACAAAAATTAATTTAACCCCTCTCTTACCTGCTAGTTCATGATTTTTTTTGTGTGCCTGTGTTTAAACATACTTTAATAGTATGTTTAAACATATGCAACATTATAATTAAATTCTAAACATAGGTTTCAAGAAATTATTATTATCAGGTTAAGAATATCCATTTTTCTTGGTTTTATCGACAAAGCACTAGTCACGCGAAAATTTTAATCCGCTAAAGATGCAGATTCACTAACATTTTTTTTTGTTCTCATAGCAGTAGGTATATGGCGGTTATTATGTTGCTAACTTACTTAACTAAAATGATACGTGCGTTTACCGAAGTACTGGCACGAAGGCAACATAAATTTACATTTTTATTCGTAATAAAAAACATATTTATAAAATTATTAAATTAGTTTTATTATTAGGTACTTTTTCTTAAACTACTGAAATAAAGCTCTCAACCAAACTGTTTAATATTTGTGTAAAACTTGTTTTTATTTTACATTTTAAAGGGCAATAAATCCTTAATGGAAAAATCCACATATACTTAAAGCTCAAGAAGAAACAATTCCGTCGCAATCTATGCAGCGATATTCTTAAGTTTCTGTAAAGTAGCCACACGTGCATAGGGCGATTAGTTCGTCCTTGTAGCCATAAAAAATCCCAAATATTACGAATGAAATAGAAGCACAATTTTTAGTATCAATGTAAATTAATTATAAAGGATGTTCTCTAAATCTGAATACCCATACATGGGCGTCCACAAGAAATTTCTGAGGTGGTAAATACAAGCCTTAAAAACGTTATGTAAATGTTAATAACACTCCTGCAGGAATAAGACATTCATTGCGTCATGGCATAACTATTGATTTATTTATTTGTTAAAGATACACTTTTATTTATATTTCTCATTTTTTCAGCTGGGAGAGAAATTTTTAGAGATTTCCTAAGGGGAGAATACTCGGAAGAAAATATATTGTTTTGGTTGGCTTGTGAAGAACTGAAGCGGGAAACAAATCCAGAAGTGATCGAGGAAAAAGCGAGAATCATATACGAAGACTATATATCTATCCTTTCTCCTAAAGAGGTAAGTACAACAATTTTTATATAATGTTTATATTTTTTCCAGAAATCTGTGAACACAAAAAATTACGCTAGTGTCTCATATAAACTAGCACAAGTTATGAGTCTGCCTTATTTTACTAGAATTTAGAAACAAGACTCGCAATAACTGCTAAAAAATAGTACAAATTGGTAGTAATTTTCTGCAGTAATCTGCCTTTGTGAAAGCAATGGACAATTTTGTTCAAATATATACAGAGTTAATCTTCCAGAATTACAAATATTTACGAAGATATTATTTTTTTACTTCGTCCATTCATAAGTACATCTTGAGAACCTCCACATGGAACGAGTTCGGGAGGCGTCGCTTCTAACAGAGTCGTACTCAGTTCATTCTCCCAAAAATTCCATTTAAGTGCTTTATTAGACTTTCTTCCGGCCGTTCCATGTGTTTCTTTTATACGTCTGCATAATCTACTGTAAGTTGTTGTCACTATGAGCATTTAAATAGTTATACAGTGTGTTCCAAATTATATACAGGGTGTTCCACCTAAGAGGGATTCTTCTGTAACTTTGTAACTGTAAAATT